GGGATGCTCTCCAGGTAGTCAGCACCGCAGTGGCCACGGCTGGGGCTTCAACACTTTGTTCCAGCATGAAAACATCCCCTGCATGTGTTCTCTGGCTTGAAAAGCAGCATGAAAGGCCGGCACCGCCACCCTCCCGGTGTAGAACAGCGCCGTCTCCCACAAGGGCCCCCCTCTGGTGAGCACCGGCTGGAAGGAAACCGCCAGCCCCGTAGCCCAGGGCTCCACAGCCTCTGGCTGCAGAAAGGAGGAGCAGGACCCGCACAGACCTCTTTGGGCGTCTCCTGGCGGCAGCGGTTGCTGGTCCACCACAGCTCCAGGGCGGCCACCAGGCAGGCGAGGAGGAGACCAACAGCCAGGACACAGAAGACGCCAGCGAAGCTGTGCAGCTTGAGGGACCTGCCATCGGCCTGGGCGCTGGCGTGGCTGGCGAGGTCGCAGCGGCCCGTGTGCGGCCACCACTTTTGCTTCAGCACGTCCAGGTCCCCAGTGTCTTGCAGCTCCAGGATTCTGCAAGATACAATCCACATGAGCCACGGGGTCCTGGCCCTTCCCCACCGTGGGGGCCCCACTGCAGGCAGGGCTGAACCACCCGCCACTCTCTGCCTCAGCCTTTCCTTCCCAATCTGTTCTCCCCTCTGCAAGCAGGGTGCCCTTTCCAAAACACACATCGGGCTTTGCCACTCTCCTCAAAAGCCTCGATCCCTCTGCCCCCGTCCCACTGCCCAAGGATGGTCCCATTGCAAAGCACATAGGGACCTACAGGTGGGATCCTGGGCAAGCTCTGAGGACGAAGCCAGGAAATACAGAAACGGATGAGACAGACACTCAGACTGTGGGCTTAGGGCGCTCACGCTTACAGAACGATTTCTCAAGCTTCAACCACTGTATCCTAAGTCTCCTCACTAGGATTCAGCAAATCATTCATTCATTCGCTCATTCATTCACTGTGCCAAGGATGATGTTCGGCGTCGCTGAGCTTATGGTCCAGAGACATGGACACACACATGAAAACAATTACAGCAGCCAGCGTGGAGGCAGAGCTGTGGCCAACACGGAGAGATGCAGGCAGAGTGCTGGGGCAGTGCCCTGGGATGGTGGCCTGCAAGGGAGGGTGGAGAACCTCACTGAGGTGACAGGGACGGGAGCCCTGAAGGACGACTAACCGTAAAACAGCTCACACTCATCCGGCACGTGCTCTGTGTTAAGAAGTACTCGGCCCGGCCGGTGTGGCTCAGTGGCTGAGCATCCCACGTACCGAGAGGTCACTGGTTCGACTTCCCCTCAGGGCACATGCCTGGGTTTCAGGCTCGACCCCCAGTAGGGGGTGTGCAGGAGGCAGCCAATCAATGACTCTCATAAGTGTTTCTCTCTCTCTAAAATCAATAAAAAATACTTGAAAAAAGAAGTAATATTCTGAGTGCTTCACGAATCATGTTTAGTTCTCATGTCAACACTTTGAGACGGTTACTACCATTTTCCCATTTTTACAGAGAAGGAAGCTGAGCCACAGAGAGGTGAACTATCTTGCCCGAGTCCCCTTACGGTTGGCAGGGTTAGCACCCCCTGAGGAGAAAGAAGACCCTTCGGGGACTAGCTCCACCTTTGGAAGTCCTGTCTGGGGAAAGTGCGCGCCAGGTCTCAGCTAAACTGTGGCCAGGGAGACAGAGAGCGGCGCAGCATGTGAGGGGGCATGAGATGCAGACAGAAAAGCAGGCAGAACCAAGAACGCGGGCTCTGAGAGGGTGGGAGGAGCGTGGAGTCTGCCCTGCGGGCAAATGTGCAGCAGCCCCACGGTTCCCGTGCCCCCCACGTGGGGGCTGGGTGGGGCTTCCCTCTTAGTCCAGGCACCTGAGCAGTGAGCTAGTGGTGGCTGGTGGCTCCCAGGCTCCTCACACTCAGCTTTCCCATTCCGGCAGGGCTCTTTACAGCCAGTCTATGGTGGTATGTTCAGCTGACCACACCCTCCGGCCCTCTCTGGCCCCTCTGGGTATACGCAGTGTGAGGGCTGTGGTACTCTATGGCCAAGAGAAACCCACTGTCAACTGCCCAGTTAAGCAGTCTCTGCCCTGGACCCACACTGCAGGCCACTGTGACCACAGGCCCAGGCTGAGGTCAGTGACCATGCACAGCTGTCACTGGTGGACAGGGAGGGCCACAGCCTAGTGGGCTCCCTAACCTGTCAGCATCAAGGGCCAGCATAGCATGGCCTCTCGCAGGATGGGAAAGAATAGGCATTGGCAGCACCAGATCTCAGCTATGCTCAGACAAANCATGGCCTCTCGCAGGACGGGAAAGAATAGGCATTGGCAGCACCAGATCTCAGCTATGCTCAGACAAATGACTCGCCCTGTTGACCTTAGCTTCCCCATCTTTGCACCACAGACCCAGGNGCCTCTCGCAGGATGGGAAAGAATAGGCATTGGCAGCACCAGATCTCAGCTATGCTCAGACAAATGACTCGCCCTGTTGACCTTAGCTTCCCCATCTTTGCACCACAGACCCAGGTCCCCGCAAAGTGAATGGGTCCTTCAGGTCAGGGGCTGTGCATTACTCTTCATGTCTTCCCCTAGCCCACCACAGCGGGCACACAACATGGCCCTCAATTGGATGTTTGGTGCGTCAATAAAGGCATGAATGTGTTAGCTGAATATTGAAAACAAATCTGAACTCAAATGGCCATGAATATGATGAGATATGTCCAGGAAGTTCAGGTGGAGGTCAGCACGAAGACTTGAAGGCGGCTGTGCATGTAGGAGCTTGGTCCTTGAGGTGAACTTGTGGTTCACGTGTATGTGTGTGGCATGGGTCATGCCCAGTATGCTGCTGAGCCAGAGATCTCCCATCACATCCCACCATGTTAGGGAAGCTCATGTCCACTGAGTCCTGCTGGCCAGCCGTGGATGAAGTCTCTGCTCGCTGGCCCAAGTGGGCTAAGTCTCTGGGTTGGATCTGCAGGGCCTCAGGGCCTTTGAGAGGACTTGTGGTCCAAGTGCTGGTCACCATGGTGACAGCCGAGCTTCCTGGCCACTGGCACAGATCCTGCTGTGATGGACATCAGTTCTCACCCAGGCTCTGCCATCCAACTGGCCAAGTCACTGCACCTCTCAACGTTAGTTCTCTCATCGCTCAAATCGAAGACCGAGATAAATGTACCTCCCTCACAGAATTGTGACAAAGTGAAAAGAGTGAGCACATGCTACACTCAGCTGGAGATCTGGCTAGTGACAGGAGCTCCATGGACGCTGGGCAGTGGCTGCAGTCTGGTGGCCACACTGACCAGCAGCCCTCTCAGCCCAGCATGGACAGGGGCTACCTCTACTGAGAATGCAGTGGCACTGACCAATCCACAGTATCTCCCCCCACAGTACCTTCAAAGTGGTCCTCACTATGATTGAAGACCCGAGGTCAGAATCTAGAGGACTGGCCCACAGTGGCGGTTAGAAAGTGGCTGTCATGCTGGCCCGAGAGGCCATGGTCTTCTCAGACCACCAGGCTGCCACGTGCAGGCAGCCTGCCCTCTGAGGGCAGGGCTCTGGCTCAGGGGTGGTGAGACTGTGGCCAGAGCAGGCTGTGGGGCCAGGTCCCACCTTCTGCTCACTGACTGCAGAGACAGGCAGCCTGCCTAGTTGTTTTTTGTTTTTGTTTTTAATATGTTTTTATTGATTTCAAAGAGAGGAAAGGAGAGAGAGAGAGAGACAGAAACATCAGTGATGAGAGAGTCATGGATCGGCTGCCTCCTGCACGCTGCCTCCTGGGGATGGAGCCCACAACCCGGGCTTGTGCCCTGACCGGGAATCGAACCAGGATCTCCTAGATCCTAGGTCGATGCTCAGCTGCTGAGCCACCCTTGGCCGGGCTGCCTGCCTAGTTTTGCTGATGTGTCTCTTCTTTGGGCTCCTTATAACTGTATGTATTTTTTATACCCAAAATTATTTCAGGAAGAATGGAAGGCAGTTTATAGGAAAATATCGAATAAAACACAAAACAAACAAATCAAAAAGAAAATTTAAATATGTAAGCAGCAGAGGAAAGATAAAACAAGTCTCAGGCACAAAACAGCTCCTCGAGTGAGGCTAAGTGTATTTGCACCGTAGTAACCCACTCTGCTTACGAGGAGCCGAGCGAGATCAGCCACTTCCTGAGGCCAGGCCCTATTTTCCAAACAGACGTCATCGCAGGCGCTCCCGTCGGTCAATGGTCATGGAGCCTGCTACACAACAGGTGATCTGTGCACCGGCATTAAGCTGCCAAGTGTTTACTGAGTGCCCACCGTGCCTGCCACGGGCCCTGATGGTGGCTGCGCTAGAGCCCCGCCACACACGTAGCCGTAGCCTCCAGACACTGGCCTGTGCCAAGGCAAGGGAGCAGAGCCAAGTACAAAGAGACAGCCTAGTGCTAGGACTGAGGGACAGAAGGTGACAGCAGTTCCGGGGAAATCTGAGACTTGCTGTTTACGTGAGATCCTTCACTGTGAGTGGCAGGGAGCGCTGCTTGCAGGCCTACCTCTCGCTCTTCCCGGGCCTGGCNTTGCACTGTGAGTGGCAGGGAGCGCTGCTTGCAGGCCTACCTCTCGCTCTTCCCGGGCCTGGCTGGGGACAGCTCACATGCTGCGTGTACCACGGAGCGGGGCCTCTCCACCGGCCTGAGCACCCCCGCCCCCACAGACACCCATCTCCCCAGGCCAGGAGAGGGGTGCTTCCAGCCCAGAAGGGGCTGCAATATAGACAGGTGACAAACTTCAGGCCAGCACAGCCCACTGGGGACATTTACCTCCAGCCATGGAGCACATGGCCTTTTGATGAAAGCAGAGTGGTAAGTCGCTTCTTGCCAGAATAGCAAGGAAACTGGACTGGCTGGTTTTGTTAAGGATGAGTCCTGGGGTTGGGGGAGCAGCCCACAGGCTTCTATTGGAGAAACTTTGAATAGAGGCTCTGGGTCAGCAGGGGAAGAGGTAATGCACAGCCTGTCCAGGGCAGGCCTGCTCCTCTGGGACCCCCCCCTCCCACACACAGGTCCCGGTCCATTGCCCTCTGGAGCCACACAAAAGACACCAAATTCCTTCTGCATTCAACAAGGCTTAGTTATTAGAGCCGAGCAGCCACCCTCCCCCCACTCATCTCTGGGTGGTTTTCTCAGGTCCCCCTCTGACCTCCTTTGAGACCCCCATTGCCCCATTGAACAATCCAGCCAAGAATCAAGCTCTCTCCTCTGCCCAGCACATCACTGTTTACTTCAGCAGCTTGCAGGAGATCTCTGAACAGGGCGAGTGCAGGGACCCTGTGCTTCCCTGAGCTCTGTCTACCTGCTGCGATGGCCCACAAGCTCCCTGACCACCGGCTGCGGAGAGGTGCTCACGGCTGGTCTGTGGAATGCCCTGAGCCTCCTGTCTCAGAAAACCAACTGGGGTAAACCTCAAGAGCACCAGTAGGCTGTGCATCTGGAGAGAAGCCATTCTTTCTTCAATCTGAGTGATCGATAAATCACTCCCCCATCTCTCTCTCTCTCTGCTCAGGAGGCACAGAATATATACCTAATTAAAATCTAGAGAAAAGCCCAAAAGCCTCACTTAATTAGTTCTACCCCTTTTCCCGTTTTGCAAACCAGCCTCTGAATGGATGTTAGAGGCCTCCTCCTCGGCCTTTCCCAGGTGGGGCTCATAGGGCTCAGGCGCTCAAGATAAGATCCCAGTGAAAATCTAGGAGGTAGGAGAAGGAAGGTGGTAGAACCTGGAGATCTGGCAGCAACATGGGCCCAGCATTGGGGCTCAGGGAGCTTGCACTCTCCTTCCAAGTCTGTGGGTAGCAGGCTGGGTGACCCCAGGTGTCAGTTCCCCTCTGTGAGCTTCAGGATGCTAATGGATGGCTCTGATGATGCCTGCCCCTCCACACGGATGACCCTCGGCGCTGGAATGAGTGCAGCAGTCAGGCCCCCGGGGTCTGCCCCACGCCTGTCCACCAGGTGGGACTTCCCTCAGGCACTCCTGCCACTCTTCACACTCTGGGTTTGGGCGCACCACTCATCTTCTCTGGGCTCTAGTTCTGCCCCCTTCACCCACCAGGATGTCACCTCACAGACAGGCGTGAGTGGTGGGTATAAGGCTTAGATGTTCCTGGGGACAAGAGCTCCTGTTAGCAGGACAGTTACCAGGAAAAGGCCACTGAGCTTACCCACACTCCTCACTTCCACCCCCTCTGGTACAGCCAGGCCACCTGGTCCAGGACTAAGGTAAGCTCCTGTGGCAGCACCCAGGGCGGGAGCTCCTGTGGCAGCACCCAGGGCGGGAGCTCCTGTGGCAGCACCCAAGGGGGGAGCTCCTGTGGCAGGACACAGGGTGGGACACAGAGCCTATCTTACTCAAGGAGGCTGACCAGGTGTCCACACAGAGCCTTTAGAAACTTGACCATGCCCGTCTCTAACCCAGGGAACAGGGACGGTCAGGGTCAAGGGATGGACTCGTACCAGCAAATCACCTGGGAAGGTAAGCACAGGCCAGTGCAAACTGGACACCCAGTATTCTTACAGCCCTCCGCCCCTTTCCCCCCCATGCCTACCACTTGCCAGTACTATTACCAGGGTGCCGATCTGAGGAGGGCAGGGACGAGGCAGGTGGGGGGCCGGGCCCGCCTACCCTGCAGGAGCAGTGGCGCCGCGTCTATGCCCCGAGCACCAGGGAGCCATCTCCTTCTCTGACCCCATCTGTTTCAAGTCTCCACAGTGACTTCCTACTCTGCATTTATCTTAAGAAGTTATTGTAGGGCCCTGGCCAGATCCAATTAATTATTCATTTAATTTTAAGTTACAGGGCCGAGCTCCTACTCATCCTTCAGGCTACAGTGTCTCCTCCTCTGGCAAGACCTCCTGGTCTCCGGGTCTGACCAGAGGCCCTCTTCCAGCCCCAGAATAGGCTCTGTTGCCCTGACTGCCCTGGGCCAACACCACCCTCTCCCATCGGTTCCCAGCAAGACCGGGCACCTTCCTCCTCTGCAGCCCAGGACCTGACCCAGAACTAGCTGTGTCGGCGAGGAGCACATCTTATACATAGTTGGTGCTGAGGAAAACGGCCTGCGCAACACGCCTGTGATGGCTCTCGTCTCCTAGAGCGGTCACCCCCTCGGCCAGGGCCCGCTGGGCGCCTGAGGCTGTGCCTACCTCTGGGAGAAGAGGTCCCTGTAGGGGCTGCCGTGCTGCAGGGCGACCCCGTAGCCCTTGCTGCTGACACTGTTGCTGATGACGGTCACGGAGCAGTCTTCGTCGGTCAGGGCTGCGTACTCCACCACGGCCACGTCCCACAGGAAGGCATAGTTCCCCTCCTTTGCCTGAAAGATCAGAATGACCTGTGGTCAGAAAGGCCCGGCCCGCGTACTCCTTTCAAGCAGTGAAGCATCTCGAGGGTAGATTTGAGGGAGCCTCCTAAGGAGCCCCTCCTGCCCACCAGCCAGCACAGACACCGTCCTCAGATGCTCTGGTCCCCAGATCCCGCCCCAGGTTGATGCCACTGGCTGTGGTTAGACAGAATAGGATGGGGTGCCGCCTCTAGCAGGCCCCAGAGCACACACCTCGCAGTGGCCTGGACCTGTTCCTTGGAGCAGCAGGCTCACCTTGGAGCCTGCAACAAGTCTGGCCCCAGAGAATTGAGACTTTTTCCAACCAGAGATCCAGGGGGAGCACAGCTTCCATTTGACATTTCTACATAGAAGCTGACTGAGCTCTCCTTGGGGTGAACATGGGAGATGGCCCAGGTTCAGCGCCCCCCCAAGTGGCCATGACTTAGTACCTAAGTCAGGAACTTGCTATGCAGAGGGAAGAACCCATCTAGGACAGGATCCTGACGTCACGGTGCCAGGCTGTGTCTGCCGCTCCCTCCCACTGCCTACACGAGAACGCACACACACCTCCGCACACACACCTCCGCACACACTTCCATGTACTCATGCACACCTGTGCGCCTGTACGCGCACACACAGGACCAGGTTCTGGTGTCACTGTTTCCATATCAATGCAGCAGCTTCGGACTATCGGTCAGGAGCTGCCCGCAGCCTCAGCTGGGCCCCCTCCGTCACAGCCAGGCACATGGCCGAGGCCCAGTCCTGTCCTAAGCCCAGGCTCTGGCCTTGCCTGGAATGTGGGCAGCGGAAAGAATGTAAGCTGCTTTGCATTTTGGAAGGAGGTGCAAACTAGACATTGTCCCTTGGCCAGCTTAAAACAGAGCATATGATTCTTAATGCAGCTAAGTTTTGGGTTTACTTCTGTGGTGAGCATCCGCCTCTTCGCCTCTGCCTTCCCTCCTGCCGCAGCTCCCACGGGGGAGGAGGCCTGTCTGGGCTTGGTGGGAAGGCCGAGACATGGCAGGCGGCGAAGGCCAGCCTGCAAGCTAAAGCCTCAGGCGTTGCTGGGGCCTGTTCCCGTCTCCTTTCTGGAGTCTGTATGTCCACTGAGACTTTCCAAAGAAGACCACTGCTGTTTCCATGGAGCTGCCAAGATTTGACTTCTGTTAGAACCCGACGTGCCTATAGGCCAAGGCGGCTCATGTTCTCATCAGAAGTTTCCCAACAGGACCATTTGTGGGCAGAATGTGTCACTCCCTGGAGCAGGCTGCTCCCAGCCATACACACGATTTTGCCCAACGACCTTATAAGAATTAACGCACACCTATGCCACCCATCGGCTTTCACTGCAGGAAGCAATTCGAGGATAACACCATGTCCTCACTGTTTGGCCAAGCCAATTTCAGCAGTCCCTAACACACTTGGACCCGGGTAGCAAAATCACACTCATCTCTCTCCCTCCACAGGGGAAGATAACAGTCTGTGAAATTTTTCCCTGCTGGCAAACAAGTTGTCTCAAAAGACATATATTTTCAACCTCTTAGTAACCAAGTTTCTCAGCAAAATGTTGACTTGTGACCTAATAGTTGGCTTTAGTCTGACTTTGGAGCATTTTACATCCAAGCTCATAATTCGACATGACAATCAGTCGTTGTTACTTGTAGGATTTCAAAAGGGCACATCATGCTGCAGGAAGAATGAAGATCCTGTTCACGCCTACCTTTCAAGTGATGTTCCAAAAAAGGAAAAGGAATAGGATGGACCAGGCCAAGTGGAAACTGGCTCCAACAGGCGGGCACAGCCATTCTGCAGGGCACCGGGAATGCGAGCTGCAAGCCCTGGAGGCTACAGTTTAAGCCATGGGACCCGTGAGCACAGATGCGTGAAGGAAGCCGCATTACAGTCCTGCTGGCCTCAGCTGAGAAGGCAGAAAACATGAACCGGATGCTGGCAATGCCCCAGCCACAAACCCAGCTCACAGGAACGCAGCCGAGAATGGGAAGGTACGAGTTCTCCTTCTTGAGCCGCTGAACGGCCCAGGCCCTCAACCTACTCATTTGTGAACAGGGACTAAATTTCCTAGTATACTCCTTACGTCTGCTTCATGAAGCACATGGCTGATCCCTAATCTGCGTGCAACACCGGAATGGGGACCCGAGGGCTGCTGTGCGCATCTCACATCCCCGGTGTGGGCGAGGCAGAGGCTCCGACTCCAGGGGGGATCTGCTCACAGGACTCTACCCCAGCCTCCCTTCCTCCCTTCCTCAGCATCCTTGAGCTTCCTGGCTCCTCTCTTAGCTCCACGCTGAGCAAAATGCAGCACCAAGACCTTCCCTGGACACCTCAAGTTCATCAGTTTCAAGGAAAACTTTCTGCACCTGCCAAGGTCTCCCTTCCCTTCCTGGTGCACCACAGGCTCTGCGAGACAGATCTCAGGTCTGACCTTGTCCTCAGGAAGATTTCAGATTCCAGCTCTAAGAAGTCCCACACCCAACCATCATGACTATGTCCCCACTACACAGACCCTCTTCTTGCCCATGCAGAATGAGCTCCCCCCCGATTCTAACGCCTCCTTGTAGGATCAGAGCAGTTTTTCACGTGGCCACTGACAATTACGGATCCACCTTCTTATTCCGTGCTCCTTACCCACAAACTCTGACTTCCTCGCATGTAGGGGCAGCAAATACATCAAACATCTGCCTCCAAGAGGCCAAGAACGTCCTCTCGCTCCTTTCCCGCCAGCAGCTCACCCTCTTCCTTTCTGGGTCGGGGCATTTCCCCCACTTTGCTCAGAGTCCTGCTCCCTCTTTGTGGGCCGAGCCTCTGGTCTACTCTCTCCTCCCCCTGGGAGGCCTCCCTACCCCTCCCTGCTCTCTCCATCCCTCCGCCCCATGTCGGACACCTGTCCCACCGTGAGGCAGTTTCATTTCCTACTCATATTAACCACTCCTTTTTGTTGCGGATTTCCCCCCAGACTCTTGGGAAGTCAGGAACCTTGTCTCTTCTCAACAGTGCTCCATTCACTGTTCCTTGCAGCAGGAGCTGGGGCACAACAGCTTGGCCAAGTGGCACAACAGTCCTTAGAGTGGCGGCTCTGCCACTTCCTATTCATACCAACCCGTCTTCCTGTGTCTCCTGATTTCCTTATTTCCCAGGTGCTGCAAGGAGTGAACTGGAGAGGATGCTGTCTGAGGAAGGGCATGACAGGTGGCACTGCCTACAGATAGATTGCTGGCACATATTTTATAATGCCTGAAAGATAAAAGTGGCCCACAGATTTGTGTTCTACACTAAAACAAAAGAATATTGTATTTCACCTCTTTAGTGGGTTAGATTACCTGTACCTGGCTTGCTCACTTCCCACACTAAATGTGCCTACCTTTCTAACCCTCACTTATAATGAGTCAATGCCTTGGGAAGCAGCGCTGGGAAGTAAGGCTAGAGATAAGGCAGGTGATTCAGCTCAGCCCTCTGCGCCTCTGGCTCCATACAAAGCCCAGGTGGGCAAAGAAACCCAGAGAGCCGTTCAGGGCTGGCCCTGGGGTCCTGAGACAGGAGCCCAAGCATTTGCAGGTCGTCTAAGAAAGTGGAGGTTTGAAAGTTAAGACAGCCTAGAAATGTAATTTACCACTTCCACATTTTAAAAAATCGATACCACCTAATGTTAGTGAGGTTTTGATAAAGGGGGCATGTCCTTCATGGCACGAGGCATCGCAGATGGCGAGATCCTCTGGAAGGCAATGCAGCAACACAACCTGGACATTTAAAATTACTCATTCCTCTGCCCAAGCAAGCTGGGAATTCAACCAAAAAGTAAGCCAAACACATCTATGTATCTTAAAGATAGGACAGATATTTTAAACTTAATGTTTCCTATAAAGTAAGCTTTGGAACAGTTTAAATATTTAATATAGAGAAATAATTAATAAATTATGGTTCACAAGTTTGATGGGGTTTAATGCAGCAGACAGTAATTATAAAGACCACGGAGAAGCACAGAAGCATATGTAGACTGGAAGGAGTGGAGACGAGGGTGGGTGCACACTCACAGCTACTGTGCATAATGTGACGTGCACATGCCCAGCGGGCTCAAATAACCTTGTTCACGGCTTAAGCCATCACTGAACACTGCGTAGGCACCGAATCTGGCCTCCTCTCCCTGTGCGTCCTTGGTGCCTGAGGCGCCCTTGCCTGTCGCCTGGCAGATCTCCCCCATTTCCCAGGGCACTGGCTCCCGGACGCTGCCCAAGCACTTGGGAAAGTCCCCTTTACATGCCTGACCTGCATCTAAAACTTTCATTCATTTCACTCTCCCCTTTCCCTGGCACGTGGTTCACACATAAGGACAGATGCGAGGAGCTTGGAGAACAGAGAAGAGAACTGCGTTGGTCTTAGAGAAAGCCCAGGGCACCTGGAGATCCATCACCAGGATTCCAGGCCTCCCTGGCTTGCCTCCCTGCAAGCATCTCAGCAAACAGGGCCCAAGCCCTTCCCTGACATCCCACCATCCCCAGGCCACCCACACACCAGAGTGCTGCAAAGAGAACTGGACCCAGACCATGCGGTGTCTGGCCCCAGTGCTTAGAGCATCCTCCCTAGCACTTGAGGGAACACAATCAGCCTGTGTTACTGGAGAAAGGTGGACATAAACCAGGCCTCAAGAGAGCTGGGATATTGGATGGTGCAGTCCGTGGTTCCACGCTGCTAATAAAAGGAGATTGCACAGCCTTTCATTGCACCACTGGCTCCGCCCTGCTCAGAACACAAGTGGAGCACAGGCTCAGAGGCAAACAGGCTTCTAGCTTCATTACTTCCCGTACTCCATCCTGTTTCTGGAAGGGGCAAGTAACCACACTGCTCCCCAAACAAGAAGGCTGGTGCTGCGAGCATTACACAGGACTGTCAGGAAGGAGGTGCAGAAGGAAATCAGGTGTGCGGTGCCAGGTACAGGTAGGTGTGGGTACCTGATGCGTGCAGGGGCCTTCAGAAAC